AAGTATGGTTGGTTCTCTCTTAAGTAGGAGATAGTGTGACACTTGCTATCATCTTAGTGGTTAGTAGAATGGAGGATAAGTGGCGTAGCATGATTATTTTGTTCGTGAGTGACGAGACAACGTGGGCCCATTGCTCGTACAGGGTCAATGCGCGACATCCAATTGCATGACCCTAGTCCTTCCTAGCTTGACCCATGGTTGACTAAGGAGGGGGTCTCGCACTCCTTTCCGCTCCCTCTCGCTATCTTCTCAGCATGGTCTAAGGTGAAAGAAGGGGACAATTAGTATCCTTTAGTATCTCGACCATCTATACAATATAATCAAGTCTAGCCCCTCAGGGTATAGTCCAGTGGTGCAAAAGACAGGAATGAAGTTATCTCACGTCTTGTTGGCAGTCGTAGTGTGGGGGTTCGATTCCTGAGATATGGAATTGAACTCTTTGTAGGCGCAGTGTACAGGCAGCTTTTGTTCTTTAGCCTGTTGGGGCACATCTCGGGATTTACCTCCCTCACAAAACTCTAGGAGCGGGATGGTGGGGGCCCTTAAGGTTGCGGTTCAACCTTTTTTTAATATAATCAAGTCTAACTTATTGATTAGTTGGCTGTGGATTAATTTGTTAGCCATTTGATGGGAGTGATTGAGCCTTGCTCGTCCATGGATGTCATGAGGCCACAAATCTAAAGGATCTACAATTTTTAACCAGCTCATAAAATTATATATTATCAAAATCCATTGACAGTCACTATTATTCTTCTTACACGGCGTGGAGATTTTGACAGACACATTCATTGCACATCAAAGGAAGACAAGAGAGTTAAAATATTTTCTAACAACTGCATATAAATATGCTTTTGAAAACTTATACATGCACCGGATCAATTCCAATAGGGGTCTAAGAAATATAAACTCTAGGCCAAAAGTGAACTGATTAGTGCAAGACCTAAGGAAAATTTGCGAAAAATAAGTAAATCGGTGAAGACATATTAAAGTTGGCTTTCAAACAAAATAAAAGACACTGTGTGTATTTTTTTCAGAAAAATAATTTTGACATCAAGAAATGAGGTTTTTCAACAAATAAAAATGAATTGTCAGAGTTTTTCAGTAATAGGAATTTCTTTCATAGATAATTCTACTTGTACACTGTGTAAGCATTATGTACACTAAAAGTGTACATGTAGCATCACCATTCTTTCATATTCAAATTAGATATTGTGGGAGACCCAATAAACAGGGCCTGTTTGGCATAACTTTTACTTTTACTTCTTATAGAAAAGTTACCTTAATTTTTGTTTAAAAGTTAATTTTTAAAAGTGTTTTTTATTTCAAAAGTCCGTTTAGAAAGTTACATTGAATCAGTTTTTTTCTAAAAGCACCTTAAACTAAAAGAAGCACTCCAAAAGCAACTTTCGGATATCAAAAATTCCTTTTGACTTCTCAATATCAAACAGGCTCATAATAGGGTTAGGATCTTTTAATGAGGGTTTTAAAAAAGGAGGAAATGGTGTAAGCGGAAATTATTGCGACTATCCAAGAATCTCAATGTGTTAATTGAGGGCTCAACTCTAAAAGCTTATCTAATTTTATCAATTGCTAGAGAATTTTTTTCTCGAAAAAATCATATATTTTCTAGGATATTAGTAAGGATGTAATAGAGAATGTTGGCTCCAAAAAATGTGCCAACACAATTCTGACCTTGATCCCTGATGGACATCACCTACACACTGAATATCCAACAAAGGTTGTCAGTGGAGAAAAAGGTCCGATGACTGTTTGCACTCCGACGATCAAGCCAACGATTGGACAAGAAAAAAATATGAGAGTGTAAAAAAGAAAGAGGGGGTTTGGCTAGGATTAGAAAACATACCTTATTATGAAAATGAATAAGATATTTGTAAAGAAATAAATGGGCCAAGTGGGCATGATATGTGGGGCTCCAAGCCCAAAATGCAATTGTTTAATTAAATGGATCCAAACAATTAAATAATCGATGCCACGTCAACCAATATGGGACTCCTTCCATCACGCGCGTCACATAATTTATGGGTATAACAATAGTCCTCCAAATTTGAGTCGTATGTTCATATGCGGGTCGAATTTTAGAATACAAGTAGTCAACTAGGTGAGGTCTTACAAATTGTCTCAGAAATATGAACAGCTCCATTATGAGGACTTACGAACTGCCTTGAAAATATGCATCGGTACCAAATAGGCAAAGAGTTGCGAATTGCCTCGAAAAATAGATACTGAGTATAATTTTTCGAAATTTCAACAGCATCTCCTCTATAATATGGACTAAACCAACTTGTAATATAATACAATATATTCACTGCACTTATGCAAAATAAATTTGGGGTTCATTTATGCCTCAAATGACTCATGACAATAAAGTAAATAATAACATATCACATTCCTTCAAGATATAATGTGCAGAGGTCTGTCATGCGTCGTACTAAATCATATACTTGCACAACTCTGTATAATAGTAGTACTAATGTGAAACAAGTAGAAAATATTATCAGACCAGTTTTATATACATTTAATTATGGCAAACGGAGAATATGCAATTAAAAGAGAATAAATATGCTACATTTGTTTGCGAATGTTATAAAAGCGTTGAGAACAGTGTGGTCTATGTTGCAAATCTATAATTTATCAAAATTGGGGATTGAAGAGAAAACTTTTGTATACATTTTTACCTCTATATGTTTAACTATATGCCCAATATACCCTCTGTGTGACACATTAAAAGTGCAGCCCAAATCAAATAGCTCAAAGAGTGAAACCCAATTGGGGAGTCCATGATAAAAGTCCAAACAGGATTATTGATGAATACGATGGAAGCCCACGAACACGGTAACATCATCGCTCAAGCTTGCAAGACGCTCAAAATCTGAGCGAATGGAGTACCTTACGATCGTCCAGAGCGATGACCCCGTTCTCGCCCAAACCTTCGAATCGCCCAGGATCTTAGCAAGCATAAAACATTATGGTTATCCAGAATAGTAGTTATTGAAACAGTTATTGAGTGATCTTATCACATTCCACGATTCAAGGATCTCAGTTGAAGGCGGTTGAATGACAAAGG